TGTCGAAAATAAGCAAGGCGATCATGCATACAGTTCCGCAAGGTTCAAAGTAAAATCTCAAAGTGACATGTAGAAGTTTTACACAATTTCAAAATTGTGATTGCACAATGCTGACAATGACAAACGGGGTGTTTTGCTCTCTGTTTAAAATCAAGTTGTGTGATGTGTTGAGCTTTGTTGCAAAAATGTGTGTTATAGAATTAACGGTACTGTGCAAAAAATGACGAAAGAAATCTTTGGAAATAACTGCAACAGGTGTCTCAATACAGGAAGACTATCTAATGTGTTTGAAACAGTTATTATTATTTGAATACAAACTCATGTTTTATGTTTTTATGTGATAATGCATTGTCAGTACTAATATTCGTGTTAGAATGGCAACATTTCAAAAGTAGACATTACAATATTTAGAAAAAAAAATACGAATTTGTCTACTTTAATTTCAGTGTGAATGCCGACGGTAGCGCCCCCTACCCTGGATTTCTAGCCTTGGAGATAACGATGTAATGTACAACATACAGAGTATATTTATACACACATGTGAGTGTCTATATCGGCGAAGTTTTATATAATATCGTCTACTGGAGGAGACAACAACTTCATCTATTTCTTTGTTTATCAGCATTGGTAAATCACCCCGCAAAGATAGCACATGTCAAATGCCAAGATAGGCCCAGAGCACCATAACATAATTTATATGGCATCCCAAGCGATGAACATGTTCATATGAAAAATTAGAAGACAAAAGTTGCAGGAATTTGCTCCGCAATCCCGACACAAGAATTTCAAATACCAAATTGTGAGAATAGTCAATTTCAAAAAAGTTGTTTTATCAAAGGATGGATGGACAGTGACGGACGCCGAAACACTGAACCAATCAATGTAATATCATATTTATATGAAAACAATGCCTCGATTTGGATTTAAGATGGCCGCTTTGTGAAAAAAAAAAAAAAAAACCACAATAGTAATTATTATAGGCCATCAACTTAAGAGGATTTGAAAAGTTGCATATTGTTATACGCATAAAAACAAGCTATCAAAAAATTGTTTTGTCACAACACCAAAAGGTTTGTATGAACATGTGTTATGGTCCATGGCAGGAAATAAAATGATGTCACGTGATTTTTTTTAAAGCAGTGATGTCTAACCTTGGCCGATTCCCATGCAGTTATCTTTGATGAAAAGTACTGTAACAAGAGCGAGATATTCCGGTTGGGTGATATCAGAATGAGTAAATACAAAGATTCAGAGATGAAACAAAGGCTTGGTAGCAGATTAGGAAATGTCCTAAAACACTAAGGATTAGGTTTAGAAACGTCAAACGGTGTTGTTACTGAGATGTCATAACATGTGACATCGATAAAGATATGTCATAACACACGACGGAATCACTACAGGGATGTCATAACACACGACGGAATCACTAGAGAGATGTCATAACACACGACGGAGTCACTACAGGGATGTCATAACACACGACGGAATCACTACAGAGATGCCATAACACACCACGGAATCACTACAGAGATGTCATAACACACGACGGAATCACAACAGGGATGTCATAACACATGACGGAATCACTACAGAGATGTCATAACACACGACGGAATTACTACATAGATGTCATAACACACGAGGGAGTCACTACAGAGATGTCATAACACACGACGGGATCACTACAGAGATGTCATAACACACAAGGGAGTTGATACAGAGATGTCATAACACACGACGGAATCATTACAGAGATGTTGTAACACACGACGGAATCACTACAGAGATGTCATAACAAATGACGGAATCACTACAGAGATGTCATAACACACAAAGGAGTTGATACAGAGATGTCATAACCCACGACGGAATCACCACAGAGATGTCATAACACACAAGGGAGTTGATACCGAGATGTCATAACACACGACGGAATCACTACAGAGATGTCATAACACACGAGGGAATCACTACAGAGATGTCATAACTCACTAGGGAATTACTACAGAGATGTTGTAACACACGACGGAATCACTACAGAGATGTCATAACAAATGACGGAATCACTACAGAGATGTCATAACACACAAGGGAGTTGATACAGAGATGTCATAACCCACGACGGAATCACTACAGAGATGTCATAACACATGACGGAATCACTACAGAGATGTCATAACTCACTAGGGAATCACTAGAGAGATGTCATAACACACGACGGAATACAGAGATGTCATTAAATACAAGGGAGTTGATACAGAGATGTCATAACACACAAGGGAGTTGATACAGAGATGTCGTAACACACAAGGGAGTTGATACAGAGATGTCGTAACACACAAGGGAGTTGATACAGAGATGTCGTAACACACAAGGGAGTTGATACAGAGATGTCGTAACACACAAGGGAGTTGATACAGAGATGTCATTACACACAAGGGAGTTGATACAGAGATGTCATTAAATACAAGGGAGTTGATACAGAGATGTCACAACACACAAGGGAGTTGATACAGAGATGTCACAACACACAAGGGAGTTGATACAGAGATGTCACAACACACAAGGGAGTTGATACAGAGATGTCACAACACACAAGGGAGTTGATACAGAGATGTCACAACACACAAGGGAGTTGATACAGAGATGTCACAACACACAAGGGAGTTGATACAGAGATGTCACAACACACAAGGGAGTTGATACAGAGATGTCACAACACACAAGGGAGTTGATACAGAGATGTCACACAAGGGAGTTGATACACACACACAAGGGAGTTGATACAGAGATGTCGTAACACACAAGGGAGTTGATACAGAGATGTCACAACACACAAGGGAGTTGATACAGAGATGTCACAACACACAAGGGAGTTGATACAGAGATGTCACAACACACAGTGGGTGGGTGCCATGTTTATTATTTAGTGTGTTACATCAAGGTTTCTCTGTTCTTCAGGTGTTTATACCATATTTGTGTAACTTAAGCACTTTTGCCTGTTATCAGTTTATTCTCAATCCCTTTGGTACACCTCCTGCTTGTCTTGAGTTACAATGTCTTCAGCACTGGCTGTAGTTCTCTGTATCTCAGACCTCAGTCCAATGGTTTAATGAGAGGTAGTAGATTGATAAACACATTTGTCATGCCCTCCTACTTCACTTTTTTTCCATTCCTAAAGTAACAGACCTCTTCTGCACTTAGAGAGGGAAACATGGCGAAGGAAGTGGTCGAAAAAGATCTTTTATTTTTTTTTAACAACTGACAAATGGGAAGGAGTAGTAGAGGTTGCCAAGCAGTAGATGTCATCAGTTGTGATATAGTTACCAATGAGATTTACGGAACGAGGCCTGTTCTGGAAGTAGCGTAACTAAAGTGTTTGTCTCTGAACTCCTTAACCAGTTGTCATCTAATGCTTCTCTAGGTTGATAGTAAATATTGTAGGTCAAATACCTCCACAGGAGGACGACATGAGGGTAAGTGCAAACTGTCATGAATAGGACGATGCATTGCACATCACTCTCCATTTGAAAAGTACTTAGTTCAAAGGATTTTTCTTATGAATAAACATATGATAAATGATCTGTTTCAATTCAAGATGGTACCTTATCTGAATTTCATTTTCTGTTTTCTTTACTGATGGAATGACGGTATTGACGGCAGACCTGTCTGTCACAATGTTTTCACATGTGTAGCTTTATAAGTTTTTATCATGTTAACTTCAGCATTACAGGTTTGTCACAAAAGCAGTTCTAGTGTATTATTGTATGGTTAGAGAACCTGGAACAAATCTGACTGATTTATCATGTCTGGTGACCTATCAGGACCTGTTGTCGCTGCGTCGTCTCTGGAAAATTATAGGGATCATTGTCTGTATTACATCATCTCTGGTGATTTTGTATATATTGTTATGTCTGGGATAGAGTCTGGGATGTGGAATGTTGAGATTTTGAAATGTAAAATCATCAATATAAATCGAGAATATTTACAAGACAGTAAACGTCTGGTACTTAAAAATAAGACATAGATATATGTGTAAGAATTGCATGAATTTATTTGACAGATCAATTCAACATTAAAATCCATGGAATAAAAATACTCTTAAATGTAAAATGGACAACTCTGTTGTAAAAACGTAATAAATGCTTTTCACTGTAAGCATTTATGATATAGTTGTACCAGCCAATATTGTGTAGAATGTGTAAGTTCAAAAAGCATACAAATTGAAACTAAAAATGGACGTAACTACAAATAATACAACAGATTTACACAGTAAAATTTTCTTAAAATAATGTTATGCTGTAATACTCCTTTATACAGAATATTATAATGTATTAAGTCTTTTCTCTTTAGAATGCGTGTTGTCATAATTCAAATAATACATCTTTCGTTGTGAGGAACTATGTTTTGAAAAGTCTTTCAATTTAACAGGTATGTAGTGTTTATGATGAAGTCTACACTTCACAATAATTATGCACATATGACATGCATTTGCACCTGAAATCTACATATCGTAATAAACTAACACCTGTCCTCAACTGAAATGTCTTCACTTCTTTAGTGCAAAATGGTGTCATCTCAGGGGTACATCATAGAAACATTCTGAAAACAGTCACTTAGTACCTTATTTTTTTCTTAACCCCAATTTGACAACTTATAACTTGCACTGTCAGTGTTAAGGCTGTATGCTGGTTACCAGTAAACTTAGTAGGAAGCTCTGTTTTTGGTCAATTATTTGGTTATGACACGTAAGCTTGCCATTTTGGGTGTCTGCAGGACACAAGTCAGTTTATGATCTGTTCATCGACTGGATCCAGACTAAACTGCACTGAAGGTAATTAGTCAAGTTTCATTAGTTAACAAATGTTCACTATGAAAATTGATGTTGATCATTGTTCATGTTTTAACTTTTAAAGACAGATTTCGGTAATTATATTTTGATCACAAAATTCACAAAAGAAATATTGGATTTCAGTTTGAACATTAGCAAATATCGATGAAGAAGTTAACAAAAAAGCACTAAGATTTTGCCCCAAAATTCATTAAAGCATGACCAAGCAATATATATATATATAGCACCATTACAGAGATTAGAAGTACCATTCATATATACAGTAAATGACGTACAATGTATATACATATGTACTACAGTAACCTTAAGACATATTTCTTACATATACACATTCAGACAAATTTTTCCATATTCTACGTCAACATTCAGACACTTCTAATAGACAGAAATGTACCTCAACATTCAGACACTTCTAATAGACAGAAATGTACCTCAACATTCAGACATTTCTAATAGACAGAAATGTACCTCAACATTCAGACACTTCTAATAGACAGAAATGTACCTCAACATTCAGACACTTCTAATAGGCAGAAATGTACCTCAACATTCAGACACTTCTAATAGACAGAAATGTACCTCAACATTCAGACACTTCTAATAGACAGAAATGTACCTCAACATTCAGACACTTCTAATAGACAGAAATGTACCTCAACATTCAGACACTTCTAATAGAGAAATGTACCTCAACATTCAGACACTTCTAATAGACAGAAATGTACCTCAACATTCAGACACTATGTTATATACTATTCCTCAATACTAAGACATACATTCAGACATTCTAATACTGTATCTCTACATTAATACAATATAACACAATTTTCTCACTCATGCATATAAGGGAATTTTTAATATCAAATATAGAATGCAACCTTCTACTTTTGTCTTAAATCAGAGAAAATTATTTTTTTTTTTACAAAAATAATGGGTCTGTTGTTGACCAAGATGTTTTATGCATTATAAAGTAATTAGTATTAAACTGTTATTCAATTACCTCTAACAGTTAACTTGTAGAAACTACTTAAAATATTGATGAAAGAGTTTTTAAAAATTAATGGATGGAATGAAGTTTTCAAGAATATCAAAAGAATTTTTTTGCAAAATGTAGAGCTTCATTATTTCTTTATATATATGGCAACTACTGATCTGGTTATCTAAATTTCCACCATATTGTGACAGATATGTATCAACTTGTTACCTGGCATATATTTATCGTTATTCATAAAAACATTATCACAAAATAACTTTCTGAACAATCACAATCTTTGTATAAATATTCTATAGTTTACAACCTGTCATCGCAAGACAATGGTCCTTATAACTGGTAAAAATAGTAACACTAGCTGTGTTTCTGGGACTCAGATATTTGAGTCCTGGAATCATGCCTTTCCTGTGGAACTCACATTAATATTCTGGACTTGCTTGAAATTGTTTTTACAAAAATCACGCACTATTCTACCACTGAGTTCATCATCCACCATACTTTTCATTATTTTTATATATATCTAATGAATCTATATATTTTTCTATCTGTTTGTAGAATATATGAGGCAGTTTTCCACACGCTGTGTACTTCGTTTTCTCCAGTTCTCTCTTCAAGGCCACAAGCATTTCATACTTTAAATCGGCGCCAAACTGGTGCTACAATAAAGATGAGACATGGATTAAACACTTTATGAAGGGAGGATGTTAAGTCTTTGCTTTACTTCAGCAGTATCAAACATAAGTTACCACAAGTTTGTTTGTTGGGTTTATTGCCCTGTGAACAGCAAGGGAAATTTGGAGGTGGGCTCTCCTTGTATCAGGTGGCTTACTTACTGAACAACATATGAGAGGCCCGTCACATGCCAGCCTGTGCAAATGGGATAAAGTGTCTTGCCCAAGGACACAACTACAATAGCACAGACCAGCCTGTGTCTTGTCTTCCTAAGAAACACTGACCATCATGGGTAAGGAGTGTCAAACTTAGCACCTCAGATCTTAATCTGGGGTTGCAAAGGGCAAAGTTCTATCAACTGACCTTAACACTGTAAATTAAACTAATTATAACTATTTAAGGACATTATGCAGTTACTTCAAATGTTCAACTTTTTCCCCCTAAATTTCGAATACAGTAAATGATTAAAACTATCGTTGAAAAGCTACTTTATTAGAATTTTTATGTAAATCTCTTTACAAATTTTTAATTAAGAAGATATGTCTTTGATAGGATATATATACAAATTGATATCATTCAAACCAAAGTGTTACATTTACACATCAAGACACTACTCAAGGGAAATTGTTCCTTACATGTATTACCAATTAGTTAAATTTGATTCTATGTCCTAGTAATTTGTGTCTAATGATTATTAATGTGAAATATTTTTAAATTTCAAACCTCTACAACACAGACGATGGGAGGTAACTCTTAAAAACACAGACAAAGGTAGATAACTCTTGATCTTAAAACTTACCTTTACAAAGGTATCATAGGCAGCTTTGAAAGCTGGCTGTTTATCGTTGTGCATCACCCGCCTGTTGCCATGTAGAACACTGGCTCCGTCTCTATCCCCTCCTTTACACACACTCATATACATACAATGATCCGGGCGATAATTCCACTCACAAGGGTAAACATACAACTGTTCTGTTGACATAAGACAAAAAACATGTCATAACCATCTGGCTTAAAACTCAATTCACACAGGTAAACATATAGCTATTCTGTTCACAGAAATATAGCATACAGTTGTCATTTTATACTACTACTACAGCTATCACACTATCAAATCACCAGTATTCTGTTCTTCAGCCTATCCAGTTTCCAGTGACAGTGGTTGCAATAGAAGAATGAATCCCACTTGTTATAATATCAGATATCATGATATTTTTCATTATACCAAGTATTCCTTATATAAATCCAGTAAAGAGAAACATTAAACATGATATATTTCAACATTAATTATCAATTATTATAACATTTTTTTTTCTGACTACTAATGTGAATTACTACATTGACGTATGTATACGTATTGTTACCTGGATAGTAATGGAAGTAGATGTTGAGAAGGTCCTGGTCCCCCCAGGTGATTTTAAGTTTGTAGTCTTTGTAGTATTGCTTCAAAGACTCCAGCCATTGTGACTGACGTATTCGTGTCAGGTTCATCAGCATCACCCCAGAGTTTACACCTGTTGGTGCAAGATTTAATAGAAATGACTGAATTGTTAAAATCTATATCTTCTACACCATGGTTTATCTTTCAATGATTGTCAATGGTTTATCTGTCAGTGACGGTTCATGGTTTATCTGTCACTGACAGTCCATGGTTAATCAACTTCAATACATAAGTAGGCAGTCTTAATTGCTGTTAGAATCAGGATTGATCTGTCAGTGATGACCATATCATTTACAAATCTCAAAGATGGATCATTGTCTACAACACTGATGGCTCAGGATTGATCTGTCACTAGTGGCTCTCAGGTTTATCTGTCACTGATGGTCCTTGATTTATCTGTCACTGATGGTCTATGGTTTATCTGTCACTGATGGTCTTTGATTTACCTGTCACTGATGGTCTATGGTTTATCTGTCACTGATGGTCTTTGATTTACCTGTCACTGATGATCTATGGTTTATCTGTCACTGAGGGTCCTTGATTTACCTGTCACTGATGGTCTATGGTTTATCTGTCACTGATGGTCTTTGATTTACCTGTCACTGATGATCTATGGTTTATCTGTCACTGATGGTCCTTGATTTACCTGTCACTGATGATCTATGGTTTATCTGTCACTGAGGGTCCTTGATTTACCTGTCACTGATGGTCTATGGTTTATCTGTCACTGATGGTCTTTGATTTACCTGTCACTGATGATCTATGGTTTATCTGTCACTGATGGTCCTTGATTTACCTGTCACTGATGATCTATGGTTTATCTGTCACTAATGGTCCTTGATTTACCTGTCACTGATGGTCTATGGTTTATCTGTCACTGATGGTCTATAGTTTATCTGTCACTGATGGTCCTTGATTTACCTGTCACTGATGGTCTATAGTTTATCTGTCACTGATGGTCCTTGATTTACCTGTCACTGATGATCTATGGTTTATCTGTCACTGATGGTCCTTGATTTACCTGTCACTGATGATCTATGGTTTATCTGTCACTGATTGTCCTTGATTTACCTGTTACTGATGGTCTATAGTTTATCTGTCACTGATGGTCTATGGTTTATCTATCACTGATGATCTATGGTTTATCTGTCACTGAGGGTCCTTGATTTACCTGTCACTGATGGTCTATGGTTTATCTGTCACTGATGGTCCTTGATTTACCTGTCACTGATGGTCTATGGTTTATCTGTCACTAATGGTCCTTGATTTACCTGTCACTGATGGTCTATGGTTTATCTGTCACTGATGGTCCTTGATTTACCTGTCACTGATGGTCTATGGTTTATCTGTCACTAATGGTAATCCATTATTTATTTGTTAGTGATGGATCAGGGTGTATCTACCACTGATGGATCAGGGTATATCTACCACTGGTGGATCAGGGTGTATCTACCACTGGTGGATCAGGGCGTATCTACCACTGATGGATCAGGGCGTATCTACCATTGATGGATCAGGGCGTATCTACCCCTGATGGATCAGGGCGTATCTACCACTGATGGATCAGGGTGTATCTACCACTGTTGGATCAGGGTGTATCTACCACTGATGGATCAGTCTGTATCTACCACTGATGGATCAGTGTGTATCTATCACTGATGAGGTAGAGTTTAATGGATTTTAACAACTCCCATGTTATTAATAAACATTGTAAGCATCTCCACCAATTTTATCTCTGTTGCCTTTTTAAACCAGATTTTTCATTATCTTAGTGTTTCTAGTAGAAATAAATCCAGGTATATTAGGAAATAAAATTAGAAGGATTGTTTTTCTGATCAATTGGGATAAGTCTTCTCAGTGTTATAGGCAAGACTCACTTTAACAATTACAACTGAATTCTCTCTGTAGTCTTCCTTCTCTTTCTCAATACAAATAAGTGAAGACCACTAACATTGCTTTACTTTGTATATGGTAATTCTGATCTTTACCTTGTTCTCCATAATAGGGATGTCTGGCAAATCGATGGTACCAGCTAGACTGGCTATCTTCATGTTCTGGTGAGAGAGCTACCAACTGTGTACGATTGAACTTGTGTAGAAATGCCCAAATGTCCTCCAACGGTCGCAAAAACAGGATGTCCGTGTCAACATATAGCAATGCATCTACATCTGTCAGCAGACTCTGTAAGTCCAGCACAGACATATTAGAGGAAAAAATCTTACAGGCAAGAATTTGATACGATAATTAAAAACCGTAATACTTTCACCTGTAAAAATAGACAAACTCAAGAGTCCTAACTCTTTAAACAATGGTCCTTTTGCATGAGAGCATATAAATCGCTATTTTCAGCATACTGGTGGAACAAACAGTGTTGTGTTACAGACTGTCATACAAACCAGTTCAGTCATTACATAATATACCAGCTGATCAAAGTATGCAGGATTCTGAAGCATGCATATATGAAATATGGGTTATATTAGCCCATGACAGTTTAAGTGAATTACACAGAAACTTTATTGGGGGACAACACACCTGATGAGTACTGACAATGAAATGTTATCTATCTGATTAAACAAACAATATCAGAAAGTGATCACGAGGTCTAAGAAATTTCCCACCAGGAAGAAATCTTTTTCCATGTTTTAAGTTTTTCCCAAAAGCATTTTATTGTTATGTTATAATCCATCAGTTAGATAATTGAAGCAGGGGCACCAAAAGCAGAGCAGTCCCGAGTAATAAACAATACATTTTATAATGATTTGCTTCTCAAACTGAACTTGACCTTTGACCCCAAACTGGAGATCCCAATTTATCCTATTTTAAAGAATGACAAAATTTCACGCATGAATACTCTCCACAACATGGTTCCTTTTAAATTTGCAGACAAGTTCAATAGGAAATTGTGACTTGATGTGAACTTTGACCCTTCAGTCAATAGGGTTCATACCGTTATGTAGAGGAACCAGCTTGATTATCATCCACGATATAATTTTCTCTGAGTCATGCTGACATTTTCTACCAAGACAGATGAATATGCACCTAGAAAGACAGTTGACCAAGATAACACATTCTCTACAGAATTTGTTTCAAAGAGAGGAATATTTTTACAAAAACCAGATTTTTTTCACAGCTATATAGACTACTTCACCAGGTATAGTGATTTACTTGTTCTCGTGTAAATTTCCTCAGTTCAGACATCAGGACACAAGTTTCAGACCCTGAAATACGGTATGACTTGTTATATGTTACTTTTACTCAATGAGTTATCAATGAAAGTGAGATCCTTGATCAGACAGTCCTAGAACTGTCCAGTCCCACCAAAAACAAACCCAGTACTGTTCAGTCAGGCTATACTTGTGGTGCCAGGCTGTTATAAGTATTGCTGGTAATAGCGGTGCAATTGAATTTCTAAGTGGAAGTGAAGAGAGAGAGAGAAAAACACCAGCAATGGATTGGCTGAAAAATATCAAACTATAAGGCCTGAAAAAGTTGGTGAGGCACATAAACTTGTTTTACTTTGAAATGAACCCATGATTTCTTGGTACACTGTCGGAATAACTAGACAATTCACCACTTCCATGGCAGGTGTGTTTCTACCACTTTAATCAACACCTCTGTTCTGTCTCTAAAATCAGCTTAGTTCATAAAAATGTAAATATCAATAACAGCTTAATAAATGTGAATACTGACATTAAATCATCATTTTAGAGACAGAAATTTTCAGTCTAAGGACTGGAGTGGCTGTAAATCACTTACCGGTATAAAGAGACGTTGTGATGCACATGGTTTGAAGAGATTTTTCCATTCATTGGTTACCTCCCCTTCTGGAAAGCTAAGATTATAGATGTGATATTCCACTCTCATCCGGAACTCATCTGGCCAAAAGTCGATCTGAAACACCGACAGAAATAAATCATCAGTATTTTCGTGAAGAATAAAATCTATGTTGTTTTTAACCCAATTACAAAACAGCTTAAATATTTTACCTGTAGCACCAAGTTATCAGAAGCTGTGTCAAAATATCCAAATGTTACTTGATATAATGATATAATATATCAAAGGTTGAAAAAGGCAAGACTTCACATCTCCTTACACTCAATTTTATTCTCAACAAAGTTTTCAGCAATTTTTCTTTTAATATTTCTATCAAAAATGATTACATGAAATACAATGACCTAGATATGAATGAAGTCAGTGTACTATTCCATTACTTTGATGCCCTCTCAGCCTAACAGATTTTACACATATATCAGTTGGGTTAACATAAGTTATGTCTACTTTGACAATAATAATTTGATAATTGGAATCTTTAAAAAATAATCTGCCTTCATGCTAGACAAATTCATAGATTCATGACAAAAAAATGACACCTCATGTTTGCTGACAATATTTAAACACACCTGTCGTTTAAAATAATCTTGTAGTTGTAATTCAGCAAATATGTGGAAAACCAGAGGAGTCTTTGTAAAGAGGACTGCTGACTTTAGGAGAATGACAGATTCCTTTTCTCGGTCTCCACAGGCAACTAGAGACAGATGTATTCCATTTCTCCAAGCATCACTCCTATATACCAAAACTAGTTTAGTTAATTAGTAAAGCAGTGATTTTTGATATTTAAAAAATATTAGGGTCCCCGATTTGTTCTTCTCAACTGGGCTCACTCAAATTTCAATAACTCACTACATCTCTTAGTATTGGGATTCTTTACATGCTTCACCTGTCCCATGTTTTAGTATAAAAAACTTCAAAATACACAGTAATTCATGTCTTTCTCAAAAAACAAAACAGAAAATTAAGTTAATTTTGATAACTAACAAAAATTAAGTTAATTTTGATAACTAACAAAAATTAAGTTAATTTTGATAACTAACAAAAATTAAGTTAATTTTGATAACTAACAAAAATTAAGTTAATTTTGATAACTAACAAAAATTAAGTTAATATTGATAACTAACAAAAATTAAGTTAATATTGATAACTAACAAAAATTAAGTTAATATTGATAACTAACAAAAATTAAGTTAATTTTGATAACTAACAATTATGCACTATGGATATGTCGTTGTTCTGGTCAAATATTGATGCATTGTAAAATATGAAATGAACATTTTGTAAATTTGCTAATTTTTTTTAATTCACATACCTGTGATTATAATGGTTTAGAGTATTTGTTTCAATATGACTACATAATTAATCTTGAATAGGACAAGCTAAAATGACATTCTGAATGACTCAAGAAATTTTGTATTTAATGCAAGAAATTTTTGAGTGTGATATGATTTGTACTGAATTTTGAGAGAACTTCAACTTCTCAATATGAATAATAGACATGGCTTTAGGCTAGCTATGCTTTACAAATAGTGTACATTCCAAGCAATTGAGACTGTAGTTGATACAGAAATAGACAAACCAAATGATGGGATGAAGACAACAATATTTACCTTTGAATCATACAATTGAAAAGAAAAGGTTAATATCAAACCTACTGAAAAAACACAAAATGATGTTACATAGTATCCATTAATTTTTCCTAACTTTAAAGTCAGTTAAATATGATACAAACATTTCCTTTCGGCCAGTTAATTTCTGTTTTTGTACCTTAAAGATTTGTCATCAGTACTGCCTACATCACCTCCACTTTCTTTGTTCAGATGTAAATTGTCTTTTTCATGTTGACCAGTTTGCTGGTCTGGGATCACTTGTGATGTACTGCTGCTGTCATCTTCATTATGTAGGGCGAAGAAGAGGTACACTGCCACAAGGACCACTACAGAAAGACCCAACTTGAACAACATTTTCCACCTCATGTGTAGGTTTTTAAGGTGTCATTGCTGAAAAATATCATTGTGAAAATATATTTACAGTTACTGTTGTAATTGACTCATTTGTAATATTCATTATCATTACACATGGATAATGACAGCCTATCTAAAGTAAGTAGTGATGATGTTGTGTGTGAAGGACTTTTGCGTAACTGTATCAAAATGCCTCCATGAAATACATAAAGTTGCTTGAAATATGGTTCTTTGTCAAAGTTTTGGGATTTTCTTTTACAGAATCTCAATAAAATAAAAAATATTATAATTTTTATTATAGCATTGCTATGGTACCAGAAAGACTGAAACAGTAGGCTGTACCAAGATGGAAATTTTTATGCTGGCAAACTGAATATGTTTGTGATTTTTATGTATGATTCACCTTCTATTTTGTTTAGGTTATCAACCAGTTATTCAGTAAATTGTAGTCATCCCTGATAACATATACAAAATAGAAAATTTATCCTTAAAATCAATATTAAGATATTATCAACATAGACCTATAATATACCTTTATGTCATATTATCAAATGACATTTAAATTTGTTTTCAATCACACTATTAAGGCAGATGGCTATGATCAGGTATTGAAACTTTTGTAAAACAGCAAGCTGATGAACAAGATGGCATTATTCTTTTTTCTGATAAAATAGCAGAAAGAAATAAAGGCCCAAATGTAAGGACTTAATGGTCACAAGAGTTATTTAAATGATATTCGTTCTTGTAAAAGTAAAATAATTTCAACTACATTGTACACATAGTGCAAATGTAAATTGTGTATAACATTAGCTACTGTCCCTTGTTAAGGATTCTAACCACAATTGAAGTAAATTATTCATATATAAACTATTATAAAATACACCCACTCCCACACAGAAAATTTGAGAACCCAAGATTCCTCAAATTCATAGTTTGGTAAAGTAGCTTAAGACCCTTCTGTCATTGAAGATTATTTTATTATACCATATCTAGACCTTGAAAGGAAGATTTTTGAAAGCTGAGTCAATTTGGCTGTTTTTGGCCCCAACCCATCAGTCCTTGGGGCCAGGATCAACATATATACATATAATCTACACGTACATATGTACATAACACACCATCGAATTATTATCCTACATTGTATGATAGTAATTCTACTTAAATCATGTCCCTCACCACAGGAAAACGCAAGCACTGTGGTTATGAAATTCACAATCTATCATCTCCAGGTGTTGAGAAGATTTTTTAAATTTGTGTCAGTCTCAACCCTTTTGGTATGACCCATCAGTACCTGTGGGCCATGTCAGCCATGGACAGTTTGTACATGCACATACAATCAAACCGCCATTCTATACTTTGGATTCTAACCAATTTTAAAATACTTTCAAACGAAATCAAACAAATCGTGTTCTGAAAAGCATTTTTCCGATATATAAACTACAGTCCACTGCCTCCACAGGAAAATGTGAGAACCTGTGGTAATGAAATATTGTTAAGTATTCCTTAAAACCCTTCAATCCAAGAACACGTGAATAATATTTGATTCTACCACTAACCATATCTGGCTAATATGGGTGAGCTCGAGTGTTGAAAAGATTCCAGATATTTATGTAAATTTTACCACGTGTAGCGTAGAATCCCCTTTCATGTCCTATGAACTCTATTCTTGTCATTCAGATGGACCTACCTCCTGCTCCAAAGGGGAGGTGACCAAATATTCTACAATTTCGGCTCATTTCTGGCCCGGAACTTTGAAGGTTTGCGCAAAATTTCAATGATTGTGAACTTCTGGAAATCGAAAATATGTACGATGGACACCACGCGCAAAAGACGATCACAATAGATCAGGTGATCTAACAAATGTAGAACATGGTCGTGGAAATTCAATTATTAAGCCTACCTGTTAAAGCTCGAGGGAAACGTTCGTATATCCCGGAAGTTACTACTCATTTCTTCCTCCAAAATTAGAGAGCTCTGTCGCCGTAAGGTTGCCTTTATTTCTGTGGCTTTGTCTACAAAACTTCTATACTTTTACTATATCAAACAACGTAAGGCAATAATATGCTCCAATTTAATCTTCCCCTAGTCATTCGGGTGTTCTACCAAATATATTGCGTCCTGATGATCACGCGCAATTCAATCTTATAATCACGATAAGAAAACGTTTAAGTGTATCGCAATGCAAAATGCGACAGAGGGTTAGACGCTCAGCTTGTAATTAAATCATCTTTATCGCTTATATTTTTCTCATATCACCAAAATCTATAAAAAAAATAATAAAATCCTAGTGCATCAATTCATCCAAGTGTATTCGTATACAGTTACTTCACTGTAAATGACGTCACAATGACGTACGTATATATTGCATCGAAAGGCAACATCGCCCGCGTTATGGTTATTATGGCATTCACATGTTCTACCAAATGTTCACATCATGATGAAATTCACAATCTAAAATCGCATCACATGTTGCATTCACGATACAGGTACATTGTACCGTTACAAGTGTTCTTTCAAGTGTTTCGTTTTGTTACTGCGAAGATCCACGTGTTGCACTCACGTGTTCTAATATTGAACCGAAAGCATTACCATGTTCTTTATTGCGCGCACATACAATGTACATGTTTCATTCGCTTGTGCCATTTTTGCGCCCATTCGTATCATCACGTGCCCAATTGAAGTATTAACATTTGACAAGAACATATTTGTTTCTAATCCGCTCACATATTGTACAAGTATTCGATTGTCTTGACATGTAGCCTGTCGAATCACGGATTTTGAAGATCTTTGACACGTTGTACATGTATGTAGCAGTCACGTGTTCTGTTATTGGATCCACTTGTTCCACTCACAGAATCTATTCATGCATGCACGTGTTGCGGTTATGTATTCTAGGATAGCACGGTCTATAATCGAGCATACATGTAAACTGAATTGACGTGTTCTACACGTGTAGTATTGCACACACATCCTGCGTGAACGTTGTACTTTTCTAAAACATCCCTGAAATGCAATCCCCAGTGTGTGTACTCTTTAATCCACGTTAGTCAACTGTTCTATATATTGTCCCAATAATATGGGTCACGTTTTCTAATATGTTACTTTTATATGTTACATGTTGCGCACTCGTGTTTTATTATTGTGTTCAAATATTGTAGTCACCAAGTCTACTACGGTGTCTATATCTCAAAATGTTGATGTATTCGGCGCGCCATTTGGCTCGCGAAAAATGAAAAAAAGAATGGTAATGATAACTTTTAATTTACTTTAGTTTTCCTGAAAGGAAAGTGAATAGTGGTGCATATACCGCTACATGGTCGCGTGCGTCGTGAAATGTTGTTCGTCAATATCCTCGTGCAGTTTGGTAATAAACACGGAAACAAATCGTGCTCCCCGTTGTGGCTGACGCGTTTGAAATCCCTACTTACGGTGAAACCGGGGTTGGGCTGAGCGGAGAGCAATACTTCATCTCTGTCCGTCTCCGTGCGACAAATTGGCAGCATCTACCGGCTTCATTTAATTAGAAATTCTTATTAAACTTTACACACTTATAAAGCATTATCATATCTCGGACAAGATTAAGTTTTAGGGTTGTTGGGTCAATGTTGAAGTCGTTCAAATTATTTTCTAAGGGATTCAATAAACTTCATTCTCTTATACAGCACCAAAATACCTTGAACAAGTTGAGTTTCTCGCTCGTTGGGTCAAAGTCACTATTCCTATCTTTGTTATCTCTGTTGTGCTTCATCTCATTTATGGTTTTAAATATAATTCATTGTAGTGTCTTGAATGAGTTAGAGTTTCAGGGATGTTGGGTCAAAGGTCAAGGTCACCATTTTTACTTTTTTTTTCGAAAATCGGTATCAGCGTTATAGTAGCTTCATGCCATCTGAGATTTTGGGATTTTGATATAATCTCCATTCTCTTACAAATGATCATACTACATAACATGTGTTACATATTGGCGAAGAAACTGTATTGTCAGATTGTCATACATGTGTATTGCATTGTTACATTTAAAACAGACACAAATTAATTGCATTCTGTCATTTTTCATTTTATCATCGAACAGCGCCGTCTTTGTATATCTTGTATATCATTACCGTGTAACAGCCGGTATATATGGACATATATTGCTTTAGCAATACCGTGTATGTTGGTTGATTCAATTATCGAAGACCTTATCAAAACAAGTTACAAAATTGCTAAATCCTTGAATTATACTTGTAGATACATTGACAATGCATTGAAATAGCAAAGAATTTATCGACCGCGTCCATCGTTAATACCCACCAATATTGAAAATCAAGGACAAGGCACTCCTCACCACATCAGTTGCCTATCTCGATTTTTTCTTACTCCAAAACCAACTGGAACAACTTTACACCAATTAGTCGTCTGAAAAAAGATGATTTCGATTTCCCTGTTAAGAGTGTACTATTCCTGTACTGTAACAGCCTTTGTTGTCCTTTGGTGTAAATATTATAATTAATTCCAAGTCTTGTTTCCAATTACGTGATTTCCATTGAGGGTTTCGACAGCTGACAGATAACCTGAAATGTGAACTCTGATATGAAGTTTGATGTGGTCAATGCTTATAATGGCATGTTGGTGGTTTCGCTGTCATAACAGTGTTAACATGAATTGACAAAAAATTACTTGGTGGGTGTTCTGAATAAAGCAAAAGACGCTTCATCTTTTGGATCAGTTTTTCAGTCATCGAAATATAGGCGTTTTCTACATGTTTTTGAAAATCTATTCGGTATCTACTTACCAAACTAAGGAACATAAAGCCGACATGAATGGTTGATCAAATATATCTACCGGTTAACTAAAATGTCTGCTAGTTAAAATAAGTTGCTAAAATCATTTTAATTTTGAGAGTATGTTGTGGCGCAACGCCCTTCTCTCGTTTCCATATAAACGACATCGTTTCGAAAAGTTCAAGTCACAGACCCGTAATATTTGCCTGATATGCTCCTTGGATGAGGCCAGAGAAAGTTGTGAAAACAATTAGCCTTGACTCATAT